GGGATGATCGGTCACTCGTCTTTTCAACCACGTAACTTCTGCGCTAAACTTAGTAAGAGCTTGAAACTTGGAAGAACAAATGAGGAATTCTTGCTCTTTAAAATGATGTATAATAAAGAAAGTTTTGCAAGCTAGAAAAGTTTTTTTGAGTGTCCGATTATAGGTGATGTCCGGTCATTCATAAGGTACTCTAGATATTAGAGTATTATCTATGATATTATAGTGATCTCAGCCCCACCCTTGAATCTGCATCTAGAGCTACTGAGCAAGCGCACTAGAGCAATTCAAGTTCAAGTGCAGGCAGGTTGCAAAACCAGCCCCAGCCTATTATCTTTTACACACAGAAATAAAAAACCTCAGTTCTTCCAAGAATGTCAAAGCAGGGTATTTACCAGCGGGTACCAGTGGCTGGGGATTCAGAAGAGGAAGAAGAGTTGACTCTTTTTGACAAGAAGTTCGGTGAGGGAGAGAACGTTGAGCTGATATTCAGACAAAGGAAAGGTGGCAAGCCCCTGAGAGGTTTCCAGGAACAACACCAGCAGCAAATATTCAACAAGAGAAGAATCACTAGTGGAGCAGTTGTATTACTAGCACTACTGGTAGCTCTAGTGATTGGATACACTGCCTGGAGGATACAACAAGCAAACAAGGTTTTAATAGGAAACACTACTGCTAGTACACCTGGTCCATCAGCTCCTACTGCATCAGGTAATGACGAATTGACTGATATCACTGGACCAACTGAGAATGATCCTAACAGTTGGAGAGTTGTTATGGAAGGAGGCATGAGTGAGATGAGTATGAGTCTACATGATATTAACAAAGATGGGACTCCTGATATTATTATCAATAATATCACTGGTTCATTTGACTCTGCTGGATATGTTGGTTGTCAAGGCCAGCCTGATAATTGTCTAGAGACTAAAGGTTTCTCACCATGTCAAGTTCGGCTCCTTGCTTTTGATGGTAGATCTAGTGCCATATTGTGGAATGAGAGGGTACGATTCAAATCATTTGCTTCAAATTGTAGGACAGACCTCAATAAAGATGGTCAATCTGATTGTATCTTTGCTGGTATAGAAGGTAGCCTTGCAGCATTTGATCTGTTACACAAGAAGTTACTGTGGGTTGTTGATCCAGCCATTACTGTCCCTTCATATAATTACTATTATCCATTGTTTACTAAGGATTTTGATAAAGATGGTGTCCCTGATATTATTGTGACTCATGGAGGAGATCAAATTTACTCTGACACTGAAAAGAAGCGCACTCCTGGTTTCCTAGCTGTTATTTCAGGAGCAACAGGACGTAGTCTCTCCCGTAGGATAATAATTCCTGATAATCGTGAGACATATAGCTCACCTGTACTGTATAAACCCAGTGATAATATCGAACTGGTTCTGTTTGGGTCTGGAGGTGAAACTATACCAGGATCACTGTGGGCTCTGACACTGAGTAGCTTAGAGAATCATGTGGCAAGTTACAAGAAAGAGACCTCTTACACTATTAATAAGACATACAGAGACTCTGCGTGTTATACTGAGGAACAGTTATCAAAACTAAGACCCAAACTTATCCGTGGGATATACTCGAACTCAAAACATGAGGAGTGGATGAAAGCCTGTCCAGTACTAGCTGGTGGTGTTAGTCCAATTTGGAATGTATTCAGATTATGTGTCTATGAGCTGATACCTGCTAGTGTATCTGGTACTATGCTACCTCCAGTAATAACTGACATGAACAATGACAATCATTTGGATCTATTAGTATCTCAGTTTAATGATCACACACTGCTTTACGATGGAGCAAGCGGACTAATAACTTGGGATCATTACTCACCCGACACACAAACATACAGGTACCTTATAGTAATATAATTGTTTGAATTGCTCAATCAAAATTATTTGCCTCAATTTTAGTGGCAAAAATGACTTATTTTGTATAAAATAATGTGTTCATAATGTTAAATATATTTATTTTATTTTTAGTATTCCTAGTCCTTTATATTACAATGATGATGACACACTGGACTTTGTAGCTCGTTTTAACAAAGGGAAGTGGATGAGTTATGAGTACTCTTACATGACAGTCCTTGATGGGAGGAATGGTGATATCCTCTGGCGTATTAATTGCTCACAGGCAGCAATGTCATCACCAGTCACTGTTCAGAGCAAGACTAGAGGAGATGATGGTTTTCTGTTTCTTGGAGTCGGTTGTGGTAAAAAAATTGATGATATCATTAATTCTGGTGAACAATCCTCTCATTCACCAAATGATAGTAGGAGCAAAAGATCACAGTGTCCAGTGAAGCACTTTGAAAAAGATAATAATAGATGTGTGTCTAATCCTCTTGATGTTTTATTGCATTCTCGTCAAAGAAGACATGCTGATGATGATGGATTGCTCCAGGGTTCCGGTGATAATGATGTCAGAATTCCTCCTCAAGAAAACATGATTGACATTGACTTTAGTGAGTATTATCCTGATGATCTATGGGAGAGCAATGGACCAATGGATATCTTTCCTGATCCTGATGAGAGCCCAGAGTCTTTCATGAAGGATTACTGTGGATATGATCCTGATCTGTTGCAAGCAAATCTTTACTTCTTGAACAGGAAATTAATAGAATCATCAATTGATGTTATGCCAGTCATGTCCTTTGATAATTACATATACAGTAAGTTAGTCTCAAAACTGAAGTTATACATATAGATAGAAATTGCTGTGGTCCAATATTTTGTCAAAAATGGCTAGAAGAGAATTTCTTGTTTTTAATTTATTTTATGATACATATACTTGAACTTAAGTTGTAAACAAAGTTTGAACTGATTCTGGTTTTTAGTGAATTATAAAGTTTCTCAAAAATCGAGCCAATATCACCAATAATTAAAATGAGGCAAATCTGCATTTTGTAATTTTTTGATACATAGACATATAGTTTGTTGTGTAGAAAGTTTGAACTGATTCCAAACAAGTTTAGATTTTTTGCAAATTTTTAAAGCTACTCAAAAGTTGGCCCGGAGATCCGAAGTCCCTGTACTATAATATAAGGGTGAAATGCCATTTTTTTCAGATTTATAATTATACATGTTCTTTTGTTGCATAGAAAGTTTGAGTAAATTCTGATAAAGTTTGGATTTTTTGCAAATTTAATTTTTAATCTATTGCCTGTAAGCCATGGCAGGCCAAGGAAATAATGTCCAAAAAATTTACTGATCATTTACAAAAATTTTGTACCACAAAAATTACAGCAATTTTTTGGAATAATTTTTATAATAATGTTTGTAAAATTAAAGTTTATTTTAATTGTTAGAGGTATCTCATAAAGACTTGAAGAAACATCATGGTGAAAACAATGGACCAACTACAAGTGATACTGGTGACCAATCAGTGAAGGACATTGAACTAATGATGATAAAGAAACTAATGAAAGACCGCAAGGGACTTCGTTGTGCTCACGTCATGGCCCCTGTGCTATCAGCAGGGACTCCTGTTATAACTGACTCTGATGGAGATGGTAAATTTGAAGCTATTGTGTCCCTTACTTATACAGCAGTACCTAGTGCTTATAATGTAAAAGAGCTGGAATTCATTCATCCACCAAAGCTTATTGTGCAAAGTTTCACTATTGAGAATAGGCTAAAGGCTATTTATGGGACTCATGTACAAGGAGTATCATCTGACTACTGGCCAATGGATAAACAACCTTGGACGGAATATATGGGGAGTAATGGTAATGGGGTTTATGTGAAGCATCCTAAATAATAATAATACTAATAATAATAATACATACAGTAGCTAATGATAATGACCATAATAAAGATGTAATAACAATGATAAAGCAATCCCCTGTAATACATGTACACATAGTATATTTTTGTACCCTTATTCATTTCTGTATTAATGCTTTCATTTTAATAACTAACTATTTTATGTAAAAGTGAAGTTGAATTAACAACAATGATATATAGAATGATTATAGTATTGATATAGTATTGATGAGAAGTGAGTGATAGTCATTACATAGAACTGGAGGAAAAAGCATACCATATCCTACATTATTTGATACATTACATCATGTTCATTGATGAATACACAAGATAAAAGTATTGTTACACTAGAAGTCATTATATTGTCTATTGTCTCACAAGTGGTCAAGTCAGTGAGATTGATATGACTAACAGGTTGTTGAAGAAGGACCTCTTTACAGGATTGACCCTTTACACTGCTAGATACACCACATGTATAATACACATAGGTAGATCTAATGATTAAAGTTGCTGCACTGCATGCATTAAATGGGCCATATGCATTATTTGACTATTAGTTATGTAAATTTTAATAAAAAATTTAAAATAGAAAGAATTGACAAAATAGAAAACAATAATGCTTATAATGATAAACCAATGAAAAGAAAGAAATAGAGGGGAAAAGGAAAAGAAGTAAATATATGTAAGTAATAGTAAAAAGGAAGATTAAGAAATAATATTATTATTAATAATAGAAAGAATAAATTATTGTTTAGGTAGACACTTTACTTCAGCAGTAACATTATTTCTTCCCAAATCCTGGAGTGCTTCTATCAGCTTTTCTGTTGTAACAGTACCAGTCTTTAACCAGTGAACTATCATGTCTTTACGGGATACATCTATTTAATGTATATTTAATTTATTTTAACTTGTGATCTTGAATTCCAAGATAATCCTAGTATGTGCCATTCATTGACTATCTGTTCAATAGCTTTTATATAACAGGAGCATGAGACTCATCTGTTAATAAATACACACATTATCTATTAATAATAATGCTAGATCTAACACATTCACTCACTCAAAACAGAACCTTCTGGTAAAAATTTGTCAATAGGAATAACTGCTGTAGCAATTGGATCTGTAAAAGATAATAAAAAATAAATTAATATAAGTAACAATACAAATAATCCACTGGTGTATACCAAAATATCTTACCTAATAGCCAGCAACTTAGTCTCTCATCAGTTAGTTCAATGGGTTGAAGATCAGTCTCAATACTGCAGGTGATCAATGGGGGTGTCTCTTGTATGAGATTTTGATAGGATGAGGATTCATCTCAGTTGCATGTCTTCTATGTTTCTGGTGACAATATGTCACAGCAGATATTTCCAGCATCTCCTCACTGTAAGCTAATGCAGCAGCACTGGCTATGATAGACCCTCTAGGATCACTGAACGAAAAATGGAGCAATCTTTATGTTTTCCCGTAAAGTAGATCTACACTTCAATAAATTTATGTTCATCAACAAAATTAATATGACATACCCAAATAGATCTTCAAAGTAAAGCTTGACAGCATGTCAATCAGAAATGCTTTGGAAAGAAAGGAGACTTAATGTCGATAAAAAAGTGATGCATCTCCTCTCGACTTAACAGAGAAACAATTGATGCTGGAAACAAACCCTAAAATGATAAACAAAGAGAAATAGACACACACACTGTCAGTGTACTACCTGTAGTACTAGTGTAATGAAGTGACTGGACATCATTGTTTATATTGTGTGTGTACTGTATATACTGTGAACCTAATGCGCATGCTCAGTATGCATGTGGTGATTCAATGAATGTATGGCTCTTTCTCTCTGTCTCTCCTTTCCTCTCGTTTCACTTGTTTGTTGTATTAATATGATCTTCATTACATTGGCGCAGTGGGTAGTTGACTGGGAGACTCTAGTTGCCCTAGAAAGTAGCACTGTTGGGAGAAAGCTACCTCTTGAAGTGCCAGGAGTTATACCTCGAAGGATGAAGGTAGAGGTCCCTGAACTGCCTGGTGGGTATACTCTGTCGCCCCGGTCTAATACCGAAGCCGGAACTATGTTGAATCTACTGATCTCAACGAGACTACACCGATTACTTGAGGACTCACTCTTACAGTTAATCTACCCCGCTATGGTCCTACGTACGTGCTATTTCAGTCGCCTACTTCACCATCTCTCAAATTATCATACTAAAGACTGGGACAGTCTTCTTCAAAAGAGGGGGCTGTGTAATGAAGTGACTGGACATCATTGTTTATATTGTGTGTGTACTGTATATACTGTGAACCTAATGCGCATGCTCAGTATGCATGTGGTGATTCAATGAATGTATGGCTCTTTCTCTCTGTCTCTCCTTTCCTCTCGTTTCACTTGTTTGTTGTATTAATATGATCTTCATTACACTAGTCTACAGTTGAATGAGATGACCAGTGGGTCACAGGTTTGAGTGAAGGCCTTCTTCTGTTTTTTGGTGATTCTTTCTGGTGGAAGAACAATTGGTAGGAAAGAACAAGTAGGACCAGTAAAGGAAATAATGGGAGAGACCAAGAGAAGGTGCTTCAGTAAGGAAAGTAGATTGGATTTTGAGAACAGATTAGCAATAAAAGTCATTCCAAGACTATCCAGTAGAGACTCATCAAAAACTCCATCTCTTTTTAGCTCCAGTTGAGTATTGGGAGCAAACTGACCCCATCAGGTAATAACTGCTGTATATCATCCACAAAATACACTGACAATATCAGAGAGACAGTCTACTAGAAACTGAGGATTAGTGAAGACAACATGATGGAAGATACTGGAGTAGTAGATTGTAGATGCAGAGAGTCAATGAATCAAGATACACTAACATTGGTCAGCAACTGATTGACTCGTTCCTAATTTGATACCAATAGTGTAACATGACTCAAGTGATATCTCAAACATCTGCCAACATATTGGTATTGGGACACTGAAACTAATAGACTTAGCTGAGACATCATATGCTCACATATATCAGTTGATATCTTCTCATGATTCATCTCGCAGAGATTGTTGACAGGAAAAACCAGCTCATTTGAGTCACAATTATAGAATATAAACAGATCAAGAAACTCACTCAGACAGGATTTTAGATTCTTCTACTTCAGTGTCTCCTCTAGGCCTAGTGCTCTCTTAAATTTTGACTTGTTGCGATGAGTGGCCACAATGACAAATGCTGGCTTGCTAGATCCAGTTGTCTCCCTCTCTCTTCTCAGTTGATACCTATAGCCCTGTCCTCTCATTCAAGTATTTCTCTATCAGTAGTTGTCTGTCTTCTTGATGCAGATCTGTCCTGTGCTGTGTGTTCTTCCTATGATGCTCTCATTCCATACTTAATCTTGAGTCTGGAACTACTGTCAGTTCTTCACTGACCTCAATGAGCTATGTCCTTTCATTTGACAGCTCATGCTTACTTCTTCCTTCCTTCTTCCTCACTCATATGTGTAACTTGAACTGATATGTACTCATTAATGAGTGCGTGTGTCCACGTGACAGTCAAGGACATAGCATGCATTGTATGTACAGTATGCATTCATGATAGTACATGCAAGCATAATCGTACATGAAATTGATAGCCATGCACATTAAGCAACATATACACAGCATGTAATCAAAAATGTGATATCATAATCATAATTTATTATATGTGTGTACTATAATTAATCCTTAAAATTTTGATACACACATGTATATGGAACTGACAAAGTGATAGGTACTAACCACTGATTAATGACTGAAATACTAAATTTTTTGATAATAGTTGTTCTACAGTATTCTTCCAGTAATACTCCAGATGAACCATGAAATGTTCTACATTCATTAACTTAAGAAATAAATCATTGAATGATTGAAGAATGCATGTAGAATGATGTACATGTATCATTAAAATAAAAGCTTTTCATAATACTGAACTATTGATTGCACACATATTAATTGTACAAGTCATTATGCTGTATTGAAATGGGATTCAATTGTGATTGTGACAAGGTGTTATCAAAGCAACTTACATGTACATGTACATGTATTCTCATTAGGAGCTAAAACAGAGTATTATTGACAGGTTAGTTTTTACATGTACACTCATGAGTACAGGCTTGTTCAATTTAGGCTATTATTAACAGGGCCTGCTCAGGATCTATCACTTTTTATTCTCCAGTTTATCATGCGTACATGTATATGTGGACCAGGAATAGTCTCACAATACATGTAATTAACTGATTCTATAGAAATTAAGTTAAACATGTACATGTAATGTCAAATGTGCATGACATATTTTGTACATGTGCATGTTTTTGAGAAATGAAACATCTACAAAGTTTACCAATGCATACAAGTACACATACCAGTGCGAATACCAAGTGCACCATGTACATCAGTGTGGCTCACACCACCTGTGATGGACTGTACTGTACATGCATAAGAGTTAGTATTGTGCAGCACTCTATTTTTTGCTTTAGTTCTAGTTTTAGTTCTACCAGTACTCCATTTCCAGTTTCAGTTCTAGTTTTAGTTCTACCAGTACTCCATTTCTAGTTTTATTTCTAGTTTTAGTTATACCAGTACTTTATATTTCTAGTTTCAGTTATAGTTTTAGTTCTACCAGTACTTCATCTCTAGTTTTAGTTTTAACTTTAGTTCCATGCCAAATTCTGATTCTGGCCTTATAGAGTACATTATCAATGATCGTACACCATCAATTTTCGGACACTTGTTTTAGGAAAACTATACATTGCCATCTCATGAAACTGCAAAGTATTATAGCAATAGTTATCCTTTATTTGCGTGACAAAACTTGTAGCTCTAGCAAGAGTGCATAGAAAGTTATAAGCTCTCAAAGCGTGGTGTCCGACAATACCAATGATCGGCCAAAATTCTCAATCTTCGGACTGTCATTTCTGAACGGCAGCAAAGGATAGTTTTAGAAGGTCACTATGATAACTTTGTAGGCCTGTCTTTAAACTAACTATCACCATCCGGATCTTTTTGATAGCTGTCTTTTGACAGAGATAAT